ACTTCCACCATGGCATGGTGTTTGGACCAGTGGAATGTGCGTGTGACAATCTTGAAACAGGTCTTGACCTCCCAGGCGTTCCGACCGGGTTCGGTTCGGGAAATAGACCAGGAAATACCCAGCCAGGGGTTGGGGGTCTCCCTATCAACGTCCACACTCATTTGAAACATTTGTTTGTTTTCTTCTGAGACCGCCGCCGGCCGCTGGAGACCGTGGTGGTTGTAGGTCGGTCCACCTGAGTCACTGCGGTCGGTCGCGAACTTGCATTCGGTGCACTGAGTCGGAGACAGCGAGGATCCTGGATCCTCCAACGACGTTCATCTTCAGATTGGACACTGTCCGTGTTTAGTTGGCTTCTTCAGAGTTGGCTTCTTTTTCGCCAGGGGCAAGACACAGAAAACAGGATTGCTTGCTGCGACGTCACGCTTGACCTCTGCCCGTCCTCCTCTGTGATGTCGCTCAGCTCCCGAAGACCTGGAGAAAGACCTGCCGAACAGCATCTGGTCGAACACCTTCGAAGCATCTTCGCATTGAGACCGAGAAACCGCGGCCGGGCCACGTTCCTGACCAAACCCGCGGATCATGGCGCGAGAGGACCGCACCTCTAAAAACATCCACATGGCTGTGGGGTACTAGAGGTTTGCTACGTAATGACACGAATGTGTGAAATGACACGACCTAACAATACGATGTACAACACGTGCAAGAACAGAAGAGCATCATCCGGTATAAACCACAGATGTGCTCACATGTTCATGTTCGAATTACGAGTTTAGCAGCCTATACATCGGGTTCAAAGTTGAGAGTGTCGAGCGAAGTCTTATTGGGTGTAAGCATTTTTTGATCCTTTGGTACAAATTATGCCTTTTCTGACTTCGGCATCACAAACAATGGAGATGAGTGAGGCAAAAGCGGCATTTCTAAACGAACGTGATGTGGGTAAGACTGGTTTGCGAGAGATGTATAATCAATCAAGGCTTGCACAATCCGGGCATTCTTTGGAATCGTTCGTGCTGAGATCGCTCCCACGAGGCTTTTGTGATATCCAGGACCCGTTCGTCGTGTGACCCCCCAGACACCCCCCGGGCTTCTCCGCACTCTCCGTCTCCGAAGCCGGAGGGATCGAAGGAACATCAACATGGGAAGGCTTTGGAGAACCTAATGGTATTTACATGAATGATCCATGTCTTTTTGGAGGTATTTTGGAGTGTTTTTGTTCAGCTTCCACATGGGCGAACGGCCGGTTTTGGCCAGGTGCTCTTCGTGAACCGCAGCAACGGCCGGCCCAGCGGAGAGGTTGCCACCCCCCCGGCTGCGGGCCGAGAAACCGTGTGTCGAGGAGATCAATGAAGGGCCATCTTGCAACCCACAAAGTGGGTGGATAGAGAGAAATCTTCACGAAGATGAGCATTCTGTGATTCTCTCCAAGACTGAGAACCAGGTTTCATATTTGTAAGCTTTAGATAGGGAAACCCAAGCTCTTGGCTCTTGGTGGGTTGGGCACGCATCCCACTCACTGAGAATGGCGGACGGGGACATAGGCCAGTCAGCTCGAATTTTGGAGATTGGATATCTCCGTCCAGAGGTGAAACTTGTGGGATTCGGATTCTGGTATTCTTCATGGAACTAGAAGTGTCTCAAAAGGGGCCCCCCAGGAGATGGCAGGCTCCGACTGAATCTCTTCTTTGAGAATCTTGCCCATTTGCGATGGCTGCCGTTTCGTCCGAAGCCCATAGCTCAAGGAATGAGAGAAGACGACATGGCTTGGGTGGCTGCGGACTGACATGAAACTATAAGCATTCTTGGCCCAGCATGCCCCTATCACTGGTGTCATGGACGCAAGCACTTCTTGACACGTCTCCCCTAGTCTGACTGCACATACTTAGTTCCAGCATGCGAGGACCCGCAATCAACGGGCGGCTTCTCATTCCTTTGGGTGGATGTGGTTCTTTGGCGTGGGTGGCATTTCCAGTTCGTTGCTTGAAACCATAGAAACACGGGGGCCTCAAGGATGTTGGAAGGACATCCTGAAGCTCATCTGAGTAGGTGTTGTTGGATGATTTCACATGTAGACCGTGGGGTGACAGGGTCAAACCCACACAAGGGGGTCACAATGGATGTTATTCGGTGTTGTTTTGCCATTGTAGCTCAGCATGGCTAAAAGCTTGAAGAAACAGCAGCCGTTATTTTTCTTTGGTCGTCGTCTCGATTTTCAAGTCAGACTTTGGATTCCTTGTGCCTAATGCCTTCAGGTTGTTCCCACCAAGTGATGTAGCTGGCTTTAGTGTCCTGATCATATGCAATCTTCTTGGTCTCAACACGTGGCAGATCTTGGCAGTAGGGAGAACGATGAGTTTCCAGTCGCTGAGCTCGGGATGAGTGGTCTCGCATCTGGTGACCGGAGGGGTGAAACCCGCCCACCCTACGCTTCAGCCCAGTGCCCACCCAGACGGCTGTTCACACTGTTCGCCAGCTGTAGCGTGTAAACCTCAGAAAACAAGCCGAAGGATGGAAGAGATCCCAGACCGCGCCCGACCAGGTGCAACATTCCCCGCCTTGCGAGAAACGAGAAACGCCAGCGGTTTGCCTTGAAGGACATACCAGGACCACCCTGTCTGGGTGTCCTGGCTGGACTACACTGCTTGGGGATCTCCAGCCAGGACACCCAGACAGGATGGTGCTGGTAGGTTCGATCGACCCGAGTTCCACCGACCGCAGGACCACCGACCATCGGCAGATGGGCTCTTCTGGTCAGGACGCCGCAGAGCGCCGCGCGCAGCGGACGATGATCGTTTCTCGCGCGCGAGGCGATGATCGGTTGGTTTGGGGTCGGTGGGCGACCACACCATGTCGATGATCCAGCGCATCCATGGAGTCGTTCATTCAGAAGAAGGTCCGAAAATGGGCTCGGAAGCAGACCCAAAACAGGAGAAACAGATCCCCAGCACCTTCCTTTCGGGTCACTTGGCTGGAAGCCCAGCCCACTCTCGGGGATCTCCAGACAGGACACCCCTTGATATAAAAAGAAACCGATCCTGGGTGTTTTCGTCATTGAGGTCACTACACCCTGGCATCTCTGGGCCAAGCTCTGCGAGAAAGGGGAGTACCACAACGGCGTGGAGTTCCTCCGACGAGTTGCGAGGTTTTCTCTCGGCTATGTGACAAGCTGGGGAGGGTCATGTGATGTGTTTGTTCGTGGCATTTGGGATCGGTGCTAATTTGAAGCCAAGTGAGATGGGATGGTTGGGATGGTGGGTCAGCAAAGACCAGGTGCGCTTTTTTGGACACCAAAGATGTTGCCTTTTCCTATCACTGTCGACATCTTCATTTGGTGTTTCTCTGTATTATTGGGTAGAAGAACATCATCTCCCAACACGTTTGTCAGGGTGGGTTGGAAACAACGTAGATGGTGATCCCAGCTGAGGCAAGGTTTTCATGGTCACTCACGTATACATTGGAGAGTCTTTTAGAGATTGCAGGGGTGGCATCTCTCGACAGTCTCCATGCACAGCACCACTGAAGACGAGAAAGACTTTGGCGCTGTCTGGGATTGCCAACACGACAGGTAGTTACTAGTGATCTTCAGATCGGTGGTGTATCTTAACGTCCACCCGTGTCAGCCGTGACAGCAGCACAACAGCATCCCTTATTCGATGCCAGGTGCTTCAAATGCAATCCTGGCAGGCAGGATGGGATGGGAGTTGGCAATGGGCTCAAAGAAACACAATGGTGGGCCAGGAAACCCAAAAAGGGGACCATGCCACATCATGGGAACGTGTTGCAAGATCTATGTATTCACTGTGTGATCAGCACAGCTGGCTACTTAGTAAGTAAGGGCAAAGACTCCTTTGTATTCGTATTGTCTGAGCCTTGTTGATTGATCATTTTCACTTGGCACACGTAAAGGCAG